CAGCAGGAAAAGATCTACGATATTATATAATCTGTATGACAGCTCTTATGTAATCTTGCAGTTGACAGATGTAAACTACTGACATCTGACATTGCAAATGTCTATGAATCGGATTGGCATGTTTGAAGCATCCATCCATAGTATGAAATGGTATTTTATTCTCCATTTTATAAAGTACAACAGACATTTTTAATATTATAATTTAAAATAATAAAATAAAATAATAAAATAAACAAACTCAAAACATAACAAATAAAATCAAATTAGAAAAATTCTTAAATTAAAAAGAAACTTATATAAACTTAAATAAATATATTTACATTTCTCACCCTGCATCTATCCACATACCTACCTATCAAAGAACAAGATTTGTAGCATGATTTGCTTTTAAAACAGCAATATCTGACACTCTGTGCCTCTATAAATACACATTATACTGTACAAATCACAATCCATCATTTGTAAATCTGGGTGGTTTGGTGCTAGGTTCTTACCTCTTAGAGGGGAAAGGTACAGGTGGTGTGTCCCCACTGATACTATCACAGTAACGCTCCAGGAAACTGCGCAGGTATGTAAACGTGCTCTCCTCCAGATCCACACAAAACGGCCTGTGCCAAGCCACCAGCTGCCTGCCAGCACACAAACACACAATGATAATTCACACGCAGTCCTGTCAGGAAAACAAAGCAACTGAACAGCTGTGAATAATGGAAAATGTAAATGCGATTGTATTAACACATTAGCGGTGGAACTCATGCCTGATAGAGCAATATGGGGTTTGATTTGCATAATGGTGCTGTTTCCTGTAGACTCAAACTCATTTAAGGACAAATTGGTTTTGGTTTTGGTTTAGATCAGGAAGAGGGGGCTTTTTATTCCATTTGCATTATCCATAAGCAATGAGAGATGCAGATAATGAAATACCGAACATGTATTGTGGAAAAGCCATCAAATCTCAACTAATGAACACAGTTTTCTCTCTCTTCTCACCTGTCAGTGGGAACCGCTGTCCAGGCCAGGCTGTGGGAGGTGCCTGCAGTAATCTGCTGTATTGACACCCCTTCTAAACCAATCACTTTCTTGGGTTTGGTGACTGGCGTTGAGGTATGGCCCTGCCCACACTGCCCCATGGCATTGTTGCCCCAAGCAAACACCTCGTTTTCTGTACCACAAACCAATGAAATTACTCAAGCATTTTCTTAGAATAAACTAAATGCAGCATCAACCTGAAAATCCCATTTCAGTAAATAACAATTTAAATTTCAGTCTCTTTCTGATACAAAGCTATCAGATGACTATTTCAGAAAACTTGGAATATAGCGCACAAGTTGTATAGACTACTTTTATGGTGTCTTTTTTTCTTTTCCAAATGTTCTGTTTGGAATTACATGAGGGTGAGTAAATAATGAAAATTATAAATGTTTTTGGTAAATATTCCTATAATCCTTAGTGTTGTTATTGTTAACTACAACTAAAATTCATTAAAAAAAAATTGTCTTGAATTGAAATAAAGCTGAAACAAAATAAACATATTGTCTTGGCAACTAACTGAAATAAATAAGTTTAGGTACGTAAAAATTCCTAAAAGTTAAACTAAAATCAAAATAAATTAAAGCTATATAGAAATATTTTTAAAAGAATAAAATAAAAAGGACAAAATTTATTAAACGTAAACAAATATTAAAATAAAAAATTAAAATACAAAAATAAATGCTCATTTAAAATATGAATGAATACTATAATAATATAATTAATCAAATAAGAATAAAATATTATAACAAAATAAAATTAATATAATAATAATATCAGATAAGAATGAAATAGCACTGATCAACAATTAATTTCTATAAAATTTTCTATAATGTTTCTATAAAATTCATTTCTATCAAATAATTTGATGTAATTTAATGCAATGCATTTTTCATTTAAATTAATTTAAATATGCAGTGTCAAACTCTGTAGACTTACTTTAGGAAAATAAAAAAAAGCTTGTCAAAAAATTTTGTAGAGAGCAAAGTTGCCACAATCAGTATCAGAGCAGAAATGATCTATTTAAGTTTCCTATTTACTATTTTCTCATCTCCTCTTCCCATTTTGTTTCTCCATCTCTCTTACCATGAGACAAAGCGAGACAGTGGCTGTCTCCACAGGAAATGTCTATGATTTTTGTGATACTGAGGTCCTCTATCGGGCGAGGTCTGAGTGAGGTGGTCTCAGATGAGCCACAGCCGAGACACGAGCCGCAGCCCCACGCAAACACCTGCATCACACATACAGCAAAACACAGAGACATGAGAATGTATATAGGTGTATAACGGTACATATTTGCTCAGCAATATACGTGAGGTTGTGTATACCTGGCCAGCAGATGTCAAAGCCAGTGACGACTGGCTCCCAGCACACACTTTTCTGATAATGAAGCCATGTAGGGCTTCTATCACTTTAGGCCTGTACACACGGTTTGTGTCCCCATGTCCCAGTTTACCTGTAACACAACACAGAGTTTACATTTACAGAACTGCCTCTACCATGGATAATAGTAATTTAAGGTGTCAAATTCAGAGGCCGTGTTTGCACTTGTTTCAACTACTGGCTCTATATTTTGCCTTCTGAAAACACTTTGCGACAGCTTTATTTCAAACAGGTTTGAGCCTGTCAGCAGATGTTATGTCTGATAGTGCTACAATACAGAGCAGAGCACTCTGAAGGGGACACAGCTTTACTGTCTCATATGTACACATGTACCATGACAAACAACAAAACTCTTATGTATAGCTGTTAAAATTGTTATGGCAAATAGAACTTGAGTCAAATATTATGCCTTTTTGTGCCGTTTAATTCAAATTATTCAATTCAAGTGAAAAAAAAACATGAAAATCTATTTTCACAGATAGCCATAGGGTAAACAAAAGCATTGCATTATGTTTGAATTGATTATAAAATGAACTGAAAATGATGATAGATAGATAGATAGATAGATAGATAGATAGATAGATAGTCCAGTTTTCAAGTGTTACATTTGACAAATTTAATGCATGCATGCTGAATAAAAATGGTAATAAAAAAAAACCTTTCTGAAATAAAAAGAAATAAATCACAACTAAATAAAATAAATAAATAAAATCACAACTAAATAAAATAAATAAATA